ATTTGATTCGAACTATCCGGGACCCAGAGAAGCCCAATACTTTGGAAGAACTGGAAGTGGTAACGGAAAGTTGTGTGGAGGTTCAGGAGATAAATGAAGAGGACTATTTGGTTATTATCAGATTCACTCCAACAGTACCTCACTGCTCTTTGGCAACTCTTATTGGTAAGGTTATATATACACACATATATATATACACACACGCACACAAGGACAGTGCACGAAAACTCGTGTACTTGGGGGGGTCCCTCAGCCCGGCCTGCACCCTCTTGCAGTCTGGGATCCCTCAGGGGATGTCCGACTGAAGGTTGAGGCCTGCTCCCCAGAGGAATGGGCCTAAGCTGTCCTTCAGACATCCCTCTGGCAGCCCAGGAGCCCCGCCTAATGGCTTAGGCCCGCTCCCCCTGGGCCATTAGTCGGACGTCCTTAGCACTGTCGCAGAGGCCGGAGAGGCTCCCACCACTGCTGCTTCACTGGCCAGCCATGAGCTGGCTTCTGGCTGAGCAGAGCTCCTCCTGTGGGAGCGCACTGACCATGAGGGGGCAGCTCCTGCATTGAGCGTCTGCCCCCTGGTGGGCACACCATAGTGACTGGTCGTTCCTGGTTGTTCCGCAGTTAGGGTCAATTTGCATATTATCCTTTTATTTTATAGGACTTAAAAATTCTGAATTATTCTAGCTGATATTGACCCAAAGTAGCAATTAGCATGATGTATCGTAATTTTATGGTTTACAGAGTATCGAACCTGCAACTTAGCTATATGCTCTGACTGGGAATTGAAACCACAACCTTTTTGGTATGTAGGTCATTGCTCCAACCAACTGAGCCTCTTGGCCAGGCCTTCATTTCTTATTTTGAAGGGGAAAAGTGGAACATTGGCACTAAGGGTCTGTTTCAAGCCCAGTTTTAATTTACAAATTAAAAATTTTAATTTACTGAAAAAATTATAGAACCATGTCTTGGCAATGGGGTGATAAATTGAACGTTAGTGGAACTTGTTTTAGGGAAACAACTTTGTACCTTGTAGACATAGATTAGGATTCCAACTTTGAGAGGTTTCTTGTGCTCCTTTTTAAGTGCCTCTTATGTGTTTTTAAATTTTTATGTAGCCCGGCCTGTTGTGGGCATTCAGTAGAGTTTAAGGAATGAATTGACTTTTGTTTAAAGGCAAATTGATATAGTAGAAAGGTCCTGGGCTTTGTAGTAGTCTTGGATTCTAATCCCAACTCTGCACTTTATTAGCTCCTTGACCTTGGACAAGTTACATTGTGATCTTGGTTTCATAATTTGTGGAGTGGAATTGATAATACTTAGCTTACTGGATTATCATAAGGAATATGTAAGACTATATCTATATTAAAGTTCAGTGGAGTCCTAAAATTGATTGAGCCAAAGCTGTTTTTAGTTATTGTATTATATGGAGACTAGTGACCTGGTGCATGAAATTTGTGCACATTAAAGGGGGATTAATTAGAGGAAATAATTTAATATTGCTATCTGCCCTCTCTCTATAATAGAAGTGTCAGAGATGAAAGAAAATTAGTAAAATGTATATGAAAACCTTCCTCTAGTCAGAGTCTGGGGCTCACCACAGGACCCAGAGTCAAGGCCCCGTCTCACTTGCACCTCAAAATCGCATGAGACCCAGACCCGCCCCCCCCCCCGCCCCCATTGGTCTAGATCCAAAACTGCCCAGTCCCACCCTTGTCAAGCCCTGCCAGGCAGAGGTCATACCCTCAGGTCCCCTGGCCCAGTGCCAGGATGGGGGGCGTGGCCTGAGGTCCCCCAGACTGGGACCAGGAGCGTGCCTTTAGGTTCTCTGTCAAGCCCCACCAGGTGGGGGAGGGCATAGCCTCAGATCCCTGCTGATTGCTTGTTAAGGCTCCTTATGGGAACTTGTCCTCAGCTGTGGGTACAGCCATCTTTGTGATGGAGTGATGGTCAATTAGCATATCCCCTCTTTATTAGCTACGATGCCTATGCTCGCAACTCTTCAGTCCACAGGCTGACGTTCTATCCACTGAGCCAAACTGCTTTTTCAAGAACTAGTAAGAGAGATAATTGGGACTTTTTTTTCCCCCCTCCACAGGGCTGTGCTTAAGAGTAAAACTTCAGCGGTGTTTACCATTTAAACATAAGGTAAGGAAGATTTTTGTTGTTATTTTATAATAGTTGTATTGAGATTTAATTCAAATTATATATTTCACCTATGTAAAGTGTACAGTTTAATAGTTTTTAGTATATTTGCTGAATTGTGCAAAATCACTATTAATTTTGCAACATTATCACCATCCCAATGAGAAACCCTGTACTGATAGCAGTCATTCTCCATTTCTCCCAAACTCTCCCCCACCCCTAGGCAACCACTCTAGATTTTTCTCTCTAGATTTGCCTATTCTGGGTGCTTCATTTAAATGGAATTATATCATTTGTGGTCTTTTAAGACTGGCTTCTTTCTCATGAAATAATATTTTCAAGACACTCGCCAGGTAGCTCAGTTTGGGTAGAGCATCATCCCAATACACCAAGTTTGTGAGTTCAATCTAGTCAGGGGGCATACAACAATCATCCAATGAATGCATACATAAGGGGAACTACAAATCCTTGTTTCTCTATTTTTCTCCAAAATCAATATAAAAAACAAATATTTTCAGAATTTATCTATGTTGTAATATGTATCAGTATTTCATTTCTTTTTATAGTTTCATACTATTCCATTATGTGGGTGTACCACATTCTATTTATTTATCATTATCTACCATGTACAAGTTTATGTGTGGTCATATGTTCCCATTTGTTTTCCACTTAAGGAGTAAAATTAGTGGATCAAATGGTAACTATATTAAACCTTTGAGAAACTGCCAAACTGTTTTCCACAGCTGCTCCATAATTTCACATTTTCAAAAGCAGTGTATGAGAGTTCTGAATTCTCCACATCCTCACCAGTACTTGTATTTTTCATTATAGCTATCTTACTGGGTTGAAGTGATAGCTCATTGAGGTTTTGATATGCATTTCCCTGGTAACTAATAATATTGAATATTTTTTCATGTGCAAAAAAATTTTAATCACGTAAAAGCCACATAAAAAGGGCCACAAGATACCTCTCAAGAGCTCCTATACATGGAGCCACATTCCCTGGTCCTTCCCCTCTCTCCCCTAGAGCCCCTCTCCCCCTTAGGGAAAAAAATCCATCCCAAATCACTGGACAGGGGGAGGTGTCCTCGCACCCTCAGGGAGATGAGCTTTCAACAGTTCCCTCTTCCCCTGTCCCCTCCCCTGCTCCCACCCCTTCCCCGAGTGCAGGTCCCTTTAAGGCGACAGCGCCTTCTCTGGCGCCTTCTCTGGTGCCTTCTCCAGGTCAGACTACCAGCAGTGACCACAGAAGCATGGCGGACATCGGGAGCATGGCAGATGCGGACCTGTTTATGGAATGTGAGGAGGAGGAGCTGGAGCCATGGCAGAAAATCAGTGATGTCATTGAGGATTCTGAAGTTGAAGATTATAATTCAGTGGATGAAACTACTACAGTTTCTGAGAGCCAGGAGCCAGTCTCAGCTCCAGTGCCCATCGCTCTCTATGCTTCTGTTGTTAAGCACGGCAGCGGGGCACAGAACAGCAACAGTGCAAAGAGGACTCTTGTCAGACTAATTGTCGAGGACAATCCCCAAATAAAGCGTCGTCGTCGATACAATATGCCTGATGACCAAGAATTGCCACCATATGTTTCTCCATCCGAAAGAAGGCGAATTCGTCTACAGAATATGTCTGAAGAAGAACGATTGGCACAACGTAACTCTGAAGCCGAAAGAAGCCGGCGTCGTCGACAGAATATGACTGAAGAACAGCGATTGGCACTACGTACCTCTGCAGCGGAAAGAAAGCGGCGACGTCTACAGAATATGACCGAAGAAGAAAGATTGGCACAACGTACTACTGAAGCCGAAAGAAGCCGGCGTCGCCGACAGAATATGTCTGAAGAACAGCGATTGGCACTACGTAACTCTGCAGCGGAAAGAAAGCGACGACGTCAACAGAATATGACTGAAGAAGAACGATTGGCACAACGTACTACTGAGGCTGAAAGAAGCCGGCGTCGTCGACAAAAAATGTATGAAGAGCAGTCATCGACAAGTACTACCAGTAGTGGTAGGAACTGCCTTCATAGCGAAAATGAGGTAAATGAGGATACAGTTACCGAACAGAGTTGTGGTGGAACGTAACACATGTGGTGTTACATGTCAATTTTGCCTATCCCTAAGTTTCTCTGATGAAATGGAGGTATAAGTTGCTTTCTCTCGAGTTTGAAGAGCATGTAACGTTAAAAGTTGTAAATACTTCATCACAAGGGAAATTAGTCAAGCACTCCGAAAGTGTTTTTACTCTTAATGTGCTATACAGGGAGATATTAGGATAAGTTTAATCAATTTATCAGTCATTGTTTTTATCGATTTTTTTATATCATGTTTTTGTTTTTATATCATCTTTTTGTTGTTTTCACTTGTCTTTGTTGTTATATCATGTTATTGTTTGTTAATGAATTTATATATTATTTTTATGTACATTTTACTAATTTTCTTTCATCTCTGACACTTATAAAGAGTGAATAGCGATATTAAAATATTTCTTCTAATTAATTTTCTTTCAATGTGCATGAATTCGTGCACCAGGCCACTAGTATTGAAATATTTATAGGTGAAAGGATATGATCTAGAACTTGTTACAGAATAATATGGGCACTAGTAGGTGGGTGGAAGGTATAGAAGAACATGATTGGCTAATTATTGAAACTCAGTGATGGTACATGGGATTCATTAGAGTGTTGTATTTTTAATATATATTTTATCTTTCCCATAATCAAACATTTAAATTGAAAATATATATAGTCAGTAAGTTGCCAGTATAGTTATCATAGATAAAACTTGTTGGAATTTTTTATCTGTCAACCTCTGTAGTCACTACTCTGCTGGCCTAGTAACTATCAGGGTCTAGTCCACTACTGGGCTCTCTGTTTCTCGGAGACTGTGGGACAAACCACTGTTGGCCCATTAATAGCCACCTATTTACCCACTCTGCTGGTTGTGCTTTGTAGCTAACTGCAATGACTCCATTTGCCAAGTTGAACATACAGTTCAGAGGAGTCCATCTTATTCGGTGATTTGAGGTAAAAAAGTTGAGGCAACATTTGCTTTATCTTTGATTTAGGTATATTGGCTCTCCCCCAAATTTTCTGGTTTTAGCATATTTGTAAGTTAGAAATTACAGCATTGAGAATTTTTTTAGCCAAATGTAGTATATGGAGGACTTGAAAACATTTACAAAATTACTTTTCTCACAAATAAAAAAGAATGTAAAATATTTCAATAACAATTAGCCAAGTTTTTTAGAATGTGTTTATTAATATGTATTCATGAATGAATCATTACCTTATTAAGTCATCATTTTTTACTTAATGCTGTTGACCAGATCTTTTCTTTATCAATCTTGATGACATAAAGAGAAAGAAGGCAGCCTATCAGTCTCTCTGTTTCCATACCTAAGACCATGGTTGTTTAAAGAGTCTTTTGCATTTGAGATTTGACTCACTAGGAAGAGATGCCATTCTTTTTTTTCTTTTTAAAATATATTTTTATTGATTTCAGAGATGAGGGGAGAGAGAGAGGGAGGGAGGGAGAGAGGTATTGATGAAATCATTCATTGTTTGGCTGCCTCCTGTGTGCCCCACATTATGGGGGTCGGGGGGCCCTACCTGGGCATGTGCCCTGATCAGGGAATTGAACCATGACCTCTTGGTTCATAGGTCGATGCTCAACCCCTGAGCCACGCCAGCTGATTGAGATGCCATTCCTTAAAGTCTCTGTACTTGCTGAGTTAATGCTTATTGATGAATATTTCTCATTAAAAAAAAAAAAATTAGGTGGTGTTGGTGGACTAGAAGGGGTCAATGGAGGAAAGGAGAAATATATGTAATACTTTAATCTATGAATATAGTTTTTTTTAAGTAAGGTGGATTAACAACAACTTACATTTTGACAAAATAAGTGTTACCTAGGTAGTTAAAATATGGTGTTCTTGTTTTTTGTTTCAAGAAACATATTATTTTGTTTGTAAGAAAAAAAAAGTTATACGTTATTTTGTTTTGCTGGAAAAAAAAAAAAAAAAAAAAAAGAAGAAGAAGAAGAAACCTTAATTTTAGAATCTTTTATTCTTGCAAGGTACCAAACCATCTATTTGGCTACCCTGAGGTGTAGTTCATATAGAAATAGCAGGGTAGCCCTAGCCGGTTGCTCAGTGGGTAGCATCAACCTGCAGACTGAAGGGTCCTGGGTTTGATTCTGGTTAAGGGCACATGCTGGCTCAATCCCCAGTATGGGGCATGTAGGAGACAGCCAATCAATGATTCTCTCTTATCATTGATGTTTCTCTCTCTCTCCCTCTCCCTTCCTCTCTGGAAAAATAAAAAAAAGGAAGGAAGCAAGCAAGGAAGGAAAGAAGGAAGAGGGTAAATGCTGACTATCCTTTATTTACCATTTTTCAGAATAATGAATCATGCTTAATTTTAAACCAAAGGTTTTATATCTGTTACTTTGTGTCTAGAATATGAATTAATATTATGCAAGCCAACCCAGGACCAGTGCTCAGGAGGCCAGGGCCAGCTGGAGGTCTGAGGGACACCTGGGGCTGCTGTCTTCCACCCCATGGGCTCTGCAGGCCCTGTAGTGCAATACTAGTGGCCTGACTTGTCACCACGGAGCTGGATGTCCATGGCTGGCTTGCATGTGGAACCCCTTGCAGGTTCCCCATTTGGCATAGCTACTCCACTTCAATCTGGCATGCCACCTACCATGATGGACCCATTCCGAAAATGCCTGCTTGTGCCCCAGGCCCAGCCCCAGTGCCTGCCAGCACTGCAAGTTAATGAGGAAGAAGTTGGCAGATTAAGTTCTACCTCAGCAAATTTGGGAGCTTGTCCCAGAGTCTCGGGTATACATGGATCTTCTGACTTTTGAGTGGAAGCTGGACCAGACTATTACTTACAAGCAGATGGAGATCCAGGAGGCCACCAAAAAGCCTCTGCCATGAAAACGAAAGCTGCGGAATCCTAGCAAGGCAAAAGGTGACAGTGTAGGAACTGTAGGGAACTCTGAGTGGAGAGAAAACTCCTGGATGATCCACCAAACAGAAGAGGAAGTTCTCTTCATTCTTTAAGAGCCTCGTCGTTGAGCTAGATAAGGAACTGTACTGACCTGACAACCACCTATTGGAGAGGCATCAGATGCCCCCATCCAGCAAATGGATGGCTTCCAGGTGAAATGGCCTGGATATCTCAATGCCAAGTGTACCTCTTGCTCATGGGGATCATCAGCCTCCCCAGTACAAGTTGGACCTCTGCTGGCAAGGCTGTTGGGAGTGCAGTCCCAGTGGCTTTATATCAAACACCAATTTCTACCATTACTTCTGCCAGGTCTCAGCTGTGGTCAACTCTGTTTATCCAAGATTCCCATGAAGCTGTCTGGGTTGCTGCAGCACCCAGAACCCATTGTTATAAACCATATCCTTAGGTTGGACCCTAACCAGAAGAAGACAGCTTGTGCCACTAAAGGCTCAGATGAGCAATTTTCTGGTCTCTACCACCAATCAGTAGGAGATTGCCTCCCTTGATATCAAAATCCATGAGACCATTGAGTCCATCAACCAGCTGAAGACCCAGAGGGATTTCATGCTCAGCCTTAGCACTGACCCTCCAGATTGCATCCAGGAATGGCTTTGTTCCCAGCACCAAGACCTCAAGATCATCTCTGATGTGATTGGGAACCCTGAGAGATGAGATGCTTTCTACCACCAGCCCTGAACCCAGGAAGCAGTGTGAATGCATATCTTTGTCAAGATGCAGTAGCCAAGGCAGGAACTGGGGCAGGTGCTGGGAATTCACCTGACCTAACTGAATAGGGATCCCTCCCTTCCTTCTCAGCCTGGAAGGGACCATCGTCTGAGACTGCAGACACAAACACAGGATAAAGAAAAGAGTGAGGGGTATTTCCTGTCACCTTCTACTTCCCAGCTTTAATTTCATAAATGTCATGTTAGAATTCCTTGTTGCTTGACCCCTAAAGCCTTACTACTTACTTGATGGGTTGGCTTCAGTTGGGTTCACAATGGATGCTTCTGCCCCCTGCAGACAGGCCCAAGTAGGACTATTGGAGGCCTTGCTTTGATATTATAAGTGATAGGTTTTCAAAACCAAAGGCCCATGGCTTTGCTGTCTTACAGACTCCCTTCTGGGGCAAGTGCCCTGGCTGGCTCTTGGGGAGCTGGGCAAGGAACAGGGACACAACTTACAGTCTTACTAGCCTTTCTAAACAGAAGTTCTTTGCCATTCCTACTAGCCCCCCAGCCTTGTTGCTGGTTTTTTCTTTTTCTTTGGGTATTTACATTATTCGGGGAGCAGGCTCTCCTATGCAGGACCCACTTTTTTTGTGCAGGGGATAAGTTGGGCTTGTTTTTTTTTAGGGAATTAGGGAATCCTATTTGGTGCCCTCTTTATTTTCTTGCTTCAATCTATGCCAGCGGTTCTGGCCGCCATCATCTCCTGGGATGCCAGAGGGCTGCCACCTAGCTCTTGGGTCCAGGGCTATAACGCCTCCTAGCGGAAGGAGACACTCAGGTTCTCTGGTATGGCCTGAGGTACGGGTGTTCTTGCTTGGGAGGGGGAGGTGGGGAGAACTTGTTAAGGAAGATAGGCTTAGGGCTTGGAAAGTGCCACGTTAGGCAGGTTTAGAAACTTCCAAATTAGTTCTTATTTATTGGGTCCCCCCTCATTCTTACCCCCTCCCCCCCCCAAAAAAAGAAAAAGATTGGACTAGATGATTTCTAAGGTCTCCATTAGCCATGATATGCTATGATTTTTTCACTCATGAAAAACATTTCAGTAGTAAATAATTATATAAGAATTAGTTCAGCCCTAGCCTTTTTGGCTCATTGGTTAGAGCATGGTCCACAGACTGAAGGGTTTTGGGTTTGATTCTGGTGAAGCGCATTACTTGGGTTACAGTTTCTCTCCCCTCCCCTGGTCAGGTCATATGTTTCTCTCTCCCATTGATGTTTCTCTGTCTATCTCTCCCCATTCCTTCCACTCTCTCTAAAAAAAATAACCATGGAAAAAACATCCTCAGGTGAGGATTAATAAACAACAAAAAATTAGTCCATATGCTCCATTGTTCTCTGAGAAGTAAACATGTCTTTATCTTATAACATGACTTATTTACCATAGGATTTGCAGTAATTTTATGGATTTGACTCAAAAGCTCTGGTTCTTGGAGGATAGTTTATGAGGGAATGAGTAGAGCAGAACCAGAAGGGTTAGCTTAACCTATATTGTACTTGAGAGTAAATTTGTCAAGGTAAAAATGGATGAGAAAAGGAGGTTACTGCGAACTATATACTGTGATCCCATTTTTGTAAAATAAAAAATAAAAAGGAATGTCCAACCTTAGGGTGTATGTGTAATATGTGTTAGATTATGGGTGGTATAGAGGAAAAATATGGAAGAAACTACACTAGATTATTGATGTAGCTTTAATGAGAGGTGGGGTAGGGAGCAAGTTTAGATACTGATTTGGGAGGAAGAATTAGAGTGCAGGAGAGGGATTTCCATGAGTAAAACATATATGAGATCTTATTTGTATAAAATTACATTAGTTGTATTTTAAAAAATGGAATGCCCCCTGCAGACCTTTCCCAGATGACCAAATTAAAAATCATTTAATCCCTTGTTTTAGAGATGAATCTGAGGGATTTGTTCCTAAGTCTTTGATGGTGGAAGAAGTTATTTGGGCTTTCTCCCTAGACTGTTGAGTCCATTTTACATTCCACTTCATTCATCATCTTAGAATGCCCTAAATGTTTTGCTTTTAATATTTTTTTTCCTAGTTGGAAATCTACATTTCTGAAGGAACCCACTCAACAGAGGAAGACAGTAAGTGAATCTTGAATCATTATTAAAAACAACTTCAGAAAGTACTTAATCTAGAATACCAGGTTATTCTGCCAGCCAAGTATCTATTTGCTTTTTCGTAAAAAAGTGAAAAATCTGTTAGTAGCTCTTTCTTAAGGTTGAAACGTAGACATTTTTATGAACTTATTTTTTTTTTAGTAGGACTCTGGGAGAATTAGAGTTAGGCCCTGTGGATAGTGACTATTTAGGCCAGTGGTTACACATCTGTAAAGAACATCCAGTTCTAGGAAACTTGACTTACAAGCTCTACAGAGGACTGATTCTTTTCTTTGGTGGCAGGATAGAGAGCTGTGTACTTGAAATTGAAGGTCTAGCGAGTAAAGCTTTAGGGAATCTTGGAGTAGGCGTTATCTTTCTGAGTTAATGAATTAAAATGGGAGGGCCCTATCCAGGTGGCTTAGTTGGTAGGAGCATGCATCAAAATGTGGCTGGCTTGATTGCTGGTGAGAGCACATACCTAGGTTGCAGGTTCAAGCTGCAATTGGAGTGCATAAAGGAGGCAACCAACCAATCAGTTTTTCTCTCTCATATCAATATTTCTCTCTCTCTTTCGTGCCCTTCCTCTCTCTTTAAAAAATCAATAAAAACATTCTCAGCTGAGGATTAGAATTTATATGAATAAAAGAGTAATATGCTAATTAGACTGGGAGACCTTCTGGAAACTTTCTGGACATCCTTCTGGACAAAGCCATGGTGGCTGGGCCAAGGCAGAGGCAGTTAGGAGCAATCAGGCCAGGAGGGGAGGGCAGTTGGGGGTGATCAGGCCAGCAGCAGGGGGCCAATTTGGGGCAAGCAGGCCAGCAGGGGGAGCAGTTGGGAGCAAGCAGACTGGCATGGGGGGGGGGCAATTGGGAGCAATCAGGCTGGCATGGGGGCAGTTGGGGGTGATCAGGCCAGCAAATGGGGGCAGTTGGGAGTGAGAAGGCTGGCGGTGGGGGCAGTTGGGGCAAGCAGGCCGGCAGGCAGGCAGGTAAATGGTTAGGAGCCAATGGTCCTGGATTGTGAGAGGGATGTCCCACTACTGGTTTAAGCCCGATCTCATAGGGATCGACCATCCCCCAAGAGGGTCCCAGATTGGAGAGGGTGCAGGCCAGGCTGAGAAGGTACATGCCATTGACGAGAATCAAACCCAGGACCCTTCAGTTCATGGGCCAACACTCTTTCGGGCACCGGGCCACTAGTAGTAATAAAATAAAATGGTAATAGGGAACCTTTTTTCTATAGAGAACTTCTGACCTGTCTATAGAGAGAAGTCACTCAGTAACTACTTAAAAATACCAGAGTTGGGGTTTGGGAAAAGCAAAAGACAAAAAGTTCTATATAACCTATGTATTATATTAAAAACAGAGAACAGCACAGGCTGATGTAGCTCAGAGGTTTCAGCATCAGCCTACATGCAACAAGGATTATGGGTTTGATTCTTGGTCAAGGGCACATACCTGGATTGCAGGTCCCAAGTAGGGGCGCATGTGGGTGGCAACCGATCCATGAGTCTCTCAAATCGATGTTTCTGTTTCTCTACCCTCCATCCCCCTTGCTACTCTCTCTCTCCTTTTTACTCTCTCTAAAATAAATTAAATAAATAAATAAATAAATAAATAAATAAATAAGTAAGTAAATAAATAAATTCTCCAGAGAACAGAATTTTGTCTATGACTAATAGAGTGCAAATAATGAAAAATAACATTTAAAATGCATGTTTCCCTAACTGGTTTGGCTTAGTGGATAAGAGTGTTGGTCCATGGACTGAAGGGTCCCAGGTTTGATTCTGGTCAAGGGCATGTATAATACCTTGGTTGCAGGCACATCCCCAGTAGGAGGTGTGCAAGAGGCAGCTGATCGATGATTCTCTCTCATTGATGTTTCTAACTCTCTATCCTTCTCTTCCTCTCTGTAAAAAATAAATAAAAATATATTTTAAAAAGTAAAATACATGTTGTGCTTAGCTTTTATCACTAAGTAAATTGGAAGTTGGAAAACAGCAGAGGAGGGGAAGAAAGGGACAATAATAGAGTAAGAGCAACAATAAGACAGACAGATATAGGAAGACAGTGACTAAAGAAACATACACAGGAAGAGATGCACACAAAAAACGAACACAGAAGAGAGGTGCAGAGAGGGAAGGAAGCCCACTACTTTCCGAGAATCAGCCCATTTACTAAACGTTTTAGAGACTATCATGAAAACTGCTAAAACCATGTCCTATTTTCACAGTTCCAGACCTGTAGATTTCTTTACTCCTCATGTATTAAATTTATTCAAATCCCATAAGCTGATGGGTTCTACCTCTTAATTTAAAATACAAAAGAGTTTTGCCAAAACTGGTTTGGCTTGGGGACTAAAAGGTCCCAGGTTCGATTCAGGTTAAAGGCATGTACCTTGGTTGCGGGCATATTCCCTGTAGGGGGTGTGCAAGAGGCAGCTGATTGATGACTCTCTCATTGATGTTTCTAACTCTCTTTCTCCCTTCCTCTCTGTACAAAATCAATAAAATATATTTAAAAAAATGTATATATATATAAAAGTTTAGATTCTCTTAAATCTACTTTTTTATGTCTTTGAAATTCCTCTTAATTATGGGATTTTATAATAGGATAGTATTAAGCTTTATTTATTTACTTTTATTTATTTTTTTAATCTTTATTCAGATTATTACAATCGTTTCTCCTCCCCCCCCCCCCCCCCAAAGCTTCCCTCCACCCGGTTCCCACTCCACCCTCTGCCCTTACCTCCCTCCCACTGTCCTCATCCGTAGGTGTACGATTTTTGTACAGTCTCTTCCTGTACATCCCTGAGAATTATCAATCTACTTCCATTCTATGCCCTGATTCTATTATATTCACCAATTTATTCTGTTCCTTAGATTTTTAATTCACTTGATTTTAGATTCACTTGTTGATAGATATGTTGTTCATAATTTTTATCTTTACTTTTTTCTTCTTCCTCTTCTTAAAGAATACTTTTCAGTATTTCATATAATACCCTGTTTCCCCAAAAATAAGACAGTGTCTTATATTAATTTTTGCTCCCAAAGATGTGCTAGGTCTTATTTTCAGGGGATGTCTTATTTTTCCATGAAGAAGAATACAGTACACATTTATTGTTAAATGAAAATAAAGGAAATTTATTACCTGTATACGGTACGGTAGTACGGTAGTTGTCAACACAAACCAGACAAACTGTGAATCCTACAGTATCAAGAATTTACTCATTTATTCAATGACAATCATGTCATCATCTTCTGGAACATCATCATAACAATCCAGTTTCTGAATTTCCTGGTGAATTCCTTGTGACTCCATTTCTTTCAAAATCAGCGGACCAAATCTCTCATGTTTAGTCTAGGGGGGCCTTATATTTCATTCAGAAGGAAACCTGTAGGTAGGTCTTATTTTCAGAAGATGTCTTATTTTCGGGGAAACATGGTAGTGGTTTGGTGTTGATGAACTCCTTTAGCTTCTTCTTATCTGTGAAGCTCTTTATTTGACCTTGAATTCTAAATGATAGCTTTTCTAGGTAAAGTAAACTTGATTTGTAGGTTCTTGCTATTTATCAATTTGAATATTCCTTGCCATTCCTTTTTGGCCTGCATAGTCTTTTTTGAGAAATCAGCTGATAGTTGTATCGGTACTCCCTTATAGGTAACTAACTGTTTTTCTCTTGTTGCTTTTAATATTTTCTCTTTGTCTTTTGCCTTTGGTATTTTAATCATTTTAATTGTAATGTGTCTTGTTGTGTTCCTCTTTGGATTCCTTTTGTTTGGGGTTCTGTGGGCTTTCTGGACTTGTAAGTCTATTTCTTTCACCAGGCAGGGGAAGTTTTCTGTCATTATTTCTTCAAATAGGTTTTCAGCATCTTGCTCTTTCTTTTCTTCTGGCACCTCCATAATTTGGATGTTGGTACACTTGAAGTTGTCCCAGAGGCTCAACTTAGATTCTTTTTAGATTCTTTTTTTTTTTCTTTTCCAATTGGGTGTTTTTGCTTCTTTGTATTTCAAATCTTTGACTTGATTCTTGGGACCCTCTGGTCTGCTGTTGGATCTCTGTATATTATTTTTTATTTCAGTCAGTGTATGCTTAATTTTTAGTTGGTCCTTTTTCATATCTTTGAGGGTCTCACTAATTTTCTTGGAGGTTTCTAGAAGATTCTTGAGAAACCTTATAACTGGGGTTTTGAACTCTACATCCAATTACTTGCTTTCCTCCATTTCTTTCATTTATGACTTGTTTCTTTGTCTCTGCATTTTGGCTACTTCCCTGTGATGATAGAGTGGCTTTGTGTACTAAGTGTCCTATAGGGCAAGTGGCTCAGCCTCCTAATTACCTGAGGTGGACACTCTTGGTGCACTCCTTTGTGGGCTGTGTGCACAGTCTTGTTGTAGTTAAGCCTTGATTGTTGTTGGTATCATTGGGAGGAATTGACCTCCAGGCCAATTGGCTGTGAGGACCAGTTGTGTCTACGATGGGAGAACTTTTGTGCTGGAGATACCCTTGTGGGGCAAGACTTACTTCAGTGGGGCTTTGGCACTGACTGAGTCTGCCCCCTGAGTGTGTCTCTTATGGATCTGAAGATCCATAAGACATCGGGATGGTCTCACTCTGACTACTGTGTACACTGGCTCTTGGATCTCCAAGGAGGTGCAAAATCAACGACTGCCTGAGGCCACTCAGCAGGAGCTAGAGAGATCTGCAGATTCCTCCTTTTTGTTTGGGGTTTGGAGGTGCCCAGATGAGGCCCATCTGTGAAGCAATGCAGGTTGCTGTGGAGCCTTGGGCTGTGTGGGGCAGGGAATCATCAGGTTGCTGTGGAGCCTTGGGTTGTGTGGGGCAGGGAATCATCAGGGTGCAGCAAACAGCAATGGCCCTGCCCCAAAGAGATCCCCAGGTCTCTGTGTCCCGTGGCACTGTGCAGGAACAATGATCACTGCAAGCACCTCTGAGAGAAAGCCACCGTCATATTCTGGCCCGATGCCAGACAGCCCAGTTTTTCCCTGTATGGGTCCCCGGAGTCTCACCTGGAACTGGAATTCAGAGCAATCGGGAGCTTGGGTTTCCCTCAGATTGAAAAAGACAACAGTGTAATCAGTTGCCAACCGCTTTGCACACACGCCTCCATACCTCTGCACTTTACTTCCGCACCTCTGCTCCTCTGAGTCTCAGTGTGCTTTTCTCTTTCCTTCTAGTTATAGAATTTCCACTCAGCCAGCCTTCCTGTGGTTCTGGATGATATCCATTTTGTCTTTTAGTTATAGTTTTGAAGTGGTTGTGCAAGGCAGCAAGTTCAGGTGTTTACCTATGCCACCATATTGGTTTCTCCTTATATTTAGCTTTTTAAAAAATGTATTGAGTGCTTTCTTTATGTAGGCACAGTTTGACCTTTGAGATACATCCTTGCCCTTGTGGAGTCTATATTGTAGGAAGACACAGAATTGCAATAATTTATATGGGAATATATATGTTTTTTACATGTGACATTTTAGCCGGATCCCAGAAAAGTTAGCCCACTTAAGAATAAGGACATCTCACCCTGGTGTGTGGCTCAGTTGGTTGGGCATCATCCCATGCACTGAAAGGTTTCTGGTTTGATTTCTGGTCAAGGCACATGCCTAGGTTGCAGCCTTGATCATTGGTACAGGGTGTGGAGTAGGCACCCCATCACTGTTCCCTCTCACATTGATGTTTCTCTCTCTCTCTTTCCCTCTCCTTTCCTCTCTCTAAAAATAAAATAAAATAAAATAAAATAAAATAAACAAAATAATCTTTACAAAGAATATGGATAACCCTGCCCCCAGGAGAGTTGGCTGGAGTGTTGTTCCTTGTACCAAATAGGTTATGGGTTTGATTCCCAACCAAGTCACTTACCAAGGTTGTGGTTTAATCCCTGGTTGGGGTGCTGATGGGAGGCAACCAATCCATGTTTCTCTCTCATATTGATGTTTCTCTCTCTCTCTCTCTCTCTCTCTCTCTCTCTCTCTCTCTCTCAAAAAATGAATAAACATATTCTCAGGTGAAGATGAAAAATAATAATATAAAAAATATAGAAATCTCTTGCACTATTCCATCAGGGTTATTTTTAGCAAATTATAGACAACCAATATGGACCAATTAGTGACCCAGTGCACAAAATTCGTGTACATTAAAAGGGGATTAATTAGCCAAAACCAGTTTGGCTCAATGGATAGAGCGTCGGCTTGGGGACTGAGAGGTCCTGGGTTTGATTCTGGTCAAGGGCATATACCTTGGTTGCGGGCACATCCCCAGTAGGGGGTGTGCAAGAGGCAGCTGATCGATGATTCTCTCTCATCAATGTTTCTAACTCTCTCTCTTCCTCTCTGTAAAAAATCAATAAAATATATTTTAAAAATAAAAGGGGATTAATTAACTCTAACTGGTTTGGCTCAGTGGATAGAGCATTGGCCTGTGGACTGAAAGGTACCAGGTTCGATTGTAGTCAGGGGCATGCACCTTTGTTGCAGATACATCCCCAGTAGGAAGTATACAGGAGGCAGCTGATCAATGTTTCTCTCATCGATGTTTCTAACTCTATCTCTCTCTCTTCCTTTCTGTAAAAAAGCAGTAAAATATATTTAAAAAAAAGGGGAGGTAATTAGAGGAAATAATATAATATTGCTATTTGCCTTTTCTCTATAATAGAAGTGTCAGAGATGAAAGAAAATTAGTAAAATGTATATGAAAACCTTCCTCCTGTCAGAGTCTGGGCATACTACAGGACCCAGAGTCAAGTCCCTGCCCACTCACATGCACCTCAAAATCGAGTGAGACCCAGACCTAGCTGCCTCCCCCGTTGTATTGGGCAAGATCCAGACCTGGCCAGTCCCGCCCTTGTCATGCCCTGCCAGGCAGGGGGCATAGCTTTATGTCCTCTGGCCCGGCACCAGGATGGGGGGCATGGCCTGAGGTCCCCCAGCCCAGACCAGGGCATGCCTTGAGGTCCAACATAAGCTCTGCCAGGTCCCCCACGGCCTGAGACCCTCTGTCAAGCCCCGCTAGGCAGGGGCACAGCCTGAGTTCCCCTGACCCAGCACTGCGGGTGTACCTTGAGGTCCCCTGACAAGCCCTGCTGGGTGTGGGGGCACAGCCTGAGCTCACCTATCAAGCCCAGTTGGACAGAGGGGCACTCTCTCAGGTACCCCGACCTGGCACTTGAGTTGGGGGGTCAGCTTGAGGTCCCCTGTCAAATCCTGCTGGGTGGGGGGCATGGCCTGAGGTCCCCTGTCAAGCCCCATGTGGGCGGGGAAGGGGGTAGCCTCAGGTCCCTGCTGATTGCTTGTTAAAGCTCCTTATGGGAACTTGGCCTCAGCTGTGGGTGCAGCCATCTTTGTGATAGAGTGATGGTCAATTAGCATATTCCCTCTTTATTAGATAGGATAACCTTTATAATATGAAGATGCATGCAGACTAGTTTAAAAAAGGAAAGATCCAGCCAGCCAGCGTGGGTCAGTGGTTGAACTTCTACCTATGAACCAAGAGGTCACAGTTCAATTCCTGGTCAGGCACATGCCCAGGTTTCAGGCTTGATCCCCATTGTAGAGTATGCAGGAGGCAGCCAATCAATGATTCTCTCTCATCATTGATGTTTTTATCTCTCTAGCTCTCTGCCTTCCTCTCTGAAATCAATAATATCCTACCTAATAATAGAGTAATATGCAAATTAACCATCACTCCACTACACCCACAAACCATGCCCACCAGCCAATCAAAGTGAGTATGCAAATTAATCCAACAAAGATGGTGGTTGATTTGCATATGAGGAGGGAGGGACAAGTGAAGACTGAAGACAGCATAGAAGGAAGAGAGAGGGAAAGTGGAAAGCAAGGCAGCTGCAGCTGCCGGAGGGAAAGCACTGGTGGCGGTGGCTGTAGGCGCAATTTTCAAAATTGTATTTACCCTGTGCTTATTTTGGCAGCACATGTACTAAAATCAGAATGGTACAGAGAAGATTAGCATGGCTCCTGCACAAGGATGACATGCAAATTCATGAAGCTTTCCATATTTTAAGAAGAAAAAAAAAATGTATTTACCCTAAGTGTAACATCTTGCAGTATAAATATGGACAAAGACTGGAAAGAAATAAATGAAAATAGTTGTGGTAGAATAGTAGAATTAGAGGAGATATTTTTCCCTTTAAATCTCCCTGCCAGAACTTCTGAATAATTAGCTAAAATCAGTTTTAAGTTCTCAGGGAGTTAAATTCTGTTTTAGCAATCTAAGAAAAATACTGTCTGTTGCCATATATTGACACAGTTCTGCTAACTTTTGTCTGTGTATTTTTCAGTCAACAAGCAGATAAATGACAAAGAGCGAGTGGCAGCTGCAATGGAGAACCCCAACTTACGGGAAATCGTGGAACAGTGTGTCCTTGAACCTGACTGATAGCTGTTTTAAGAGCCACTGAACTTAGTTTGATATGTTTGTTTAAACTCCTTGTAAAATGTAAAAGACTCATGTTTAATACATAGGCGATTTATACCTCAAAGCATTTTTTTAAAAGATGATTTCCAGGCAAGATAAGGTAGTACCTAGTTTGTTCATTGTATAACATTCTCAGGATTTGTAACACTTAAATGATCAGACAGAAAAATATTTTCTAGTTATTATGTGTAAGATAAGTTGCTATTTTTCTGATGCCTATTCTGATACAACTGCTTTTCATGTTAAATATTTACTGTGTTCAAATGTATTCAATTTAAATCATTACTCTGTAAAATAAATAAAGCAGAGATGATTCTTTTAATGACACCTTAAATGTTTTTACTGAATTTTAAATTATTGAATTTAAATGTCAACTGAGATATTTACAAAGCTTTATTTTTCTGAATATGATGCAAAATCAGAGATCTGGAAGCCAAAATGAACCCTTAAGATCTGGCTGGGGACCTGCCTTTCTTCAAGGAGCGTTCTGGACCCGTTTAGATGAGGAACAAATGTTAGAGAGCCAGGTGGCAGATATAATTTTGAAGATCAAGAACTCCCCAAAGCAGGTGTGTGTGTATGTGTTTATCCTCACCAGAGGATATGTGTTGTTTTTTGTTTCTTTTAAATATATTTTATTGATTTTTTACAGAGAGGAAGGGAGAGGGATAGAGTTAGAAACATCGATGAGAGAGAAACATTGATCAGCTGCCTCCTGCACACCTCCTACTGGGGATGTGCCCGCAGCTAAGGTACATGCCCTTGGCCGGAATCGAACCTGGGATCTTTCAGTCCACAGGGTGATGCTCTACCCACTGAGCCAAACCAGTTAGGGCCTGAGGCTATGTTTATTTATAGAAAGAGAGAGTAAGGGAGAGAGAGATAAACATCAATGAGAAACATTGATTGGTTGCCTCCCATACCTGGGATTAAACTTGAAACCTAGGTGTGTGCCCTGAATAGGAATCAAACCTGAGATCTTTTGGATGCATGCATGGACACTCCAACCAACTAAGCCACCTGGCCAGAGCTCCAAAGCAGTTTTGATTAAAACAATCTAGCCGAGACCGGTTTGGCTCAATGGATAGAGCGTCGGCTTGGGGACTGAAGGGTCCCGGGTTCGATTCCGGTCAAGGGCATGTACCTTGGTTGCGGGCACATCCCCAGTAGGGGGTGTGCAAGAGGCAGCTGATTGATGACTCTCTCTCATCGATGTTTCCAACTCTCCATCTCTCTCCCTTCCTCTCTGTACAAAATAAATAAAATATATTAAAAAAAAATCTAAATTTATGGTCTCTAGTTTACTTTGTTCAGTTTGTTTTAGGGGATAACGGTCATTTTAAGTGTAACAGGTTTGGCAAGCAGTCTCCAAGACTGTCCCCAGTGATCTTAGATCCTGGTATTCATGCCTTTGTGTAGTTTATTTTCATGGGGAATCAGAGCTGGTCCACACGACTAAAGAACCAGAGGTAACAGTATATGACTTCTGAGGTTAGATCATTGAAAGTGCTGCTTTCGCCTTGTTGCTTGTTCTGTGGGAATCCAGCCGCTATGCCCTGAGAACACGAGCAGCCAGTGGAGAATGCCAGGGGAGAGGAATTGAGGCCTTCACTAACAACCAGCACTGACTTGCAAACCAAGTGAGTGAACCACATTGGAAGTGACCCTCCAGCCCTTGTCAGGCTGATATCATGACTGGAACCTCACAAGACCCTGAGCCAGAACTACCTAATTAAGCCAGAACTACTTAATTCCTGAGTTCCTGACCCAGAGAAGCTGTGAACAATAATATTTATTGTTTACACCACTAAGTTTGGGGGTAATTTATTTTGCAGCAATAAGTAACATAAAAGTTATTATAGAATGGAACTTTTCTGCCTCAAATTTGAGGATTCTTTTAAATATATATATTTTATTGATTTTTTTACAGAGAGGAAGGGAGAGAGGGAGAGAATTAGAAACATCGATGAGAGAGAAATATCGATCAGCTGCCCCCACTGGATGTGCCTGCAACCAAGGTACATGCCCTTGACTGGAATCGAACCTGGGACCCTTCAGTCCGCAGATGCTCTATCCACTGAGCCAAACTGGTTTCGGCCAAATTTGAGAATTCTAAGAGGAAAACAGGAGAACTTGTTTCATGACTCTTGAGCCCCTTAATCCTCTGAGAGAACAGAGGATTTGGTAAGAAGATGGATAAAAATATTTTTTGAATAAAGTTTTTGCTGTGAGTTCCAACCCCCATTTTGGCAGACGAGTAGGGAAGTGACACTATTATAAGCTAAGGAAGATTTCCAGGGTCAACTCGAGAGAGTTTGGAAATGTGTTCTCTGCAGTTAGGACACCCGGAAAACTGGGCCTGGCTCGGGACTGGGAAAGAAAGCACAAGCGGGTTGAAAGCTGGTATGTCACTTGGCTAGGAAATCTAGGGACCGAGAGAAAGGCAAAGCTACTTGGGTGACAGTTCTTTCTCATGGCCAAGGATGCTTGAATTTTTCCCATGGACCATCGGTGGGGTCATGTTGGACATTGTCCAACGGGCCACCAGCAGAGCCAAGGGGGCTTCAGCAGAAAAGGACTTGCATGTACTGCCTGGTGCCTTCGGACTGAGGAGAAAACAGTGAGTGGACAGCGAGGGCGGAGATGCCTCTGCCAGGGTAAAGCGATGCACAGCAGGAACCTCTGGCAAACTCATGGAAGTGTTGATCCAAGAGAAAGCCAGCTCTCATCATCAGACAGGCCCAGAGAGCACAGAGCCAACCAGGTAAGTAAGAACTGTGTTCTTGTGGTTCTCCCTCAGCTTCTGAGGCAGTGGTAGGACAGCTAGCATGTGGGGGAGTTTTGAGAGGAGGAAAGAAGAGAAAGCACAGGACTCCATCCCGTTGCTTTGCTGTAAGTTTCAGGCTTGAAGCAAGCTCGATTTGCAAGAGTTAATGCCAAGTTTGTAGTTTTGACTGTTAGATGTGACTCGATATTTTACCGGTAACACAATGAGGTTATCTGATTAAATGTGATAGGAAGACAGACAAAATTGTGTTGCCTAAATCTTCACCCCTTGGCAGAGGAAGATCATGTCTTCTCAACAAAGTTGCAAATGATGGTGGGAGAAACAGTAAAACTAATTCTTATGCCACGGACTGCGTCTAGAAGTCCTGTTAAGCCATCTTGGCCGCTCTCTTCCAGATCTTTTTTTTTTTTTTTAAATATATATTTTATTGATTTTTCACAGAGAGGAAGAGAGAGGGATAGATAGTTAGAAACATTGATGAGAGAGATACATTGACCAGCTGCCTCCTGCACACCCCCCACCAGGGATGTGCCTGAAACCAATGTCCATGCCCTTGACCGGAATCGAACCCGGGACCCCTGAGTCCGCAGACCGACGCTCTATCCACTGAGCCAAACCGGTTTCGGCTCTTCCAGATCTTTAAAAATCTATCACCCACCACACAAAGATAAATTCAGAAGTAACGAGATGTTGCTGATTTTTAGTCATCACTATAATCATTTCTTTCTAAATTACAAACTCAACCAGAAAAGGTTTTTGGCACCAATACTATGTTTCTTGCTTCATGGCATGCCCCACACTGGGGATCAAGCCCGCCATCCAGGCATGTGCCCTGACCAGGAATCTAATCATGACCTCTTGGTTCACAGGTCAACACTCAACCACTGAACCACACTGCCTGGGCTATATATCTGTTCTTGTAGTGCAACAATGGGCATGACAATCAATATACAAATGAATGAGAATGCTGTGTTCCAGTAACTATTTATGGACACAAATTTGGATCCCTTATAATTTTCATATCATAAAATATTCTTTTGAGTTTTTTAAACCATTTTAAGATAGAAAATTTCATTCTTAGCTTATGGATTGTACAAAAACAAGCATTGTGCTGGATTTGAACTGTGGGCCATTTGCCAACCCTTCTTCTGTAGGAACGATTCTTAACCTTTTTGGAAGGTCTTAGACCTCTTGGAGACTGTGACAAGAGATACAGAGTGGACCCCTCCCTCCACAAGAAAAGGCACCACATAAAACTTTGCATGTGACTCCAAGTTTGCTGAGGAGTCAAGGGACCCTGGGTTAATAACTCTGGGCTACAAATGATGTCAGCTAGGCACTTGGGCTTCCCATTCCTTCAGGAACTTCTCAGAGCCCAGGGGTTCAGAGACTTGGTGGGGGAGCCATTACTTTCTTAGATCACCACAAATAACAGAGAAGCTTTCTCAGCCCCACTGTGAAGCAACTGCTATCTTACCCAAATGCAGATGTCCCAGCAAGATACAATGAACTATAAGAGGGGAGGACTGTTTATTAAGAAGGAAAGGGGTTGCTATGAAAGCCCAATTGCATTCATAGCCCTGTTGGTATCCCCAAAACTCATCACTGATGCACCATTACTGGAAACATGCTATTTTTAAGCTGCTTGTGGTTACTGAATATCCGTTATGTTATTTCTTATATATTTATGTATATATTATGAAATATTTTACAAATAAGATTTTTTTTTTTAACCCAGCCGGCGTGGCTCAGTGGTTGAGCATCGACCGATGAACCGGTTAATCATGGTTTGATTATCCATCAGGGCATATGCCCAGGTTGTGGGCTCAATCCCCAGTGTGGGGTGTGCAGGAAGTTGCTGATCATTGATGAGAGGTTTTATTTTTTCCTCTCTTCCTCTCTGAAATCAATAAAAATATTTAAAAATAATCTTTTTTTTTTTTTTTTAAATCCACTGAGTTTATCCTGGGACAAAGCTTGTCTCTGACTTAAGTGAGACTGCTCTGGGGCAGAGGTAAACTCAGTCCCTGTGTGAACTTCTTTGGGGCAGATGTGTTAGGGAAAGGGGGACAGCAGTTGCTGTGTGGGCTGTGAGGTTCTGAATGCTGTTAGTATCATCCAGACCTTTGACCCTCATGGAGGAGCTGGCTTAGAGCACAGACCCTGGTGCCAA